CAGTTGTCCTGTAACTGAGCTACGGACACATGCAGGCACCGTGTAGGTCCCATTTGTGTGCACTCTTAACACGTAGCTTCTTAAAGACTGCAAAAAGACGCTGAGCATGGAAGCTCATACCTGTGATCCCACCACCCAGAAGGCAGAAAGAGGCAGAAGGATCGCTGGAGGTTCAAGGCCAGCCTCATCTACACAGGCAGTTCAAGGTAAGACATGGCTAAATAGCAAGTGCTACAATTGGTCTAAAAAAAAAAAAAACCTAAAATTAAATTCAAGCCTTTTATACAGAACTGCTATCAGAGATTTAAGTGCAGCAAATGCACTTAAATGGTCTGTTGCCTATCTGGTCCTTTGACTTGAACCTTGAATCAAATAAAAACAATCTCCTTCACATCAATTCAAATATAAGAAAGCAAGAATTTAATAAAAACTAACTTGGTACAATGCCAAATGACTACTAAAGGAAAACAGACACAGATGTATTAATTAGGGGTTCTATTGCTGTGCTAAAACACCAAGACCAAAAGTAACCTGGGGAGGAGGGGGGTTTATTCCTGCTTAGAACTCTCAGGTCATACTATCACTGAGGGAAATTTGGGCAAGAATCTAAAGTCAGGAACTCAGAAGCAGGAGCTGAGGCAGAGGTCATGGAAGAATGCTGCTTACTGGCTTACTCCTCAGGGCTTGCTCAATTTGCTTTCTTATACACCCAGGACTGCCTGCCCAGGGTAGCACCATCTACCATGAGCTGGGACCTCCCATGCCAAACATGAATCAAGAAAATGCCCCCACACCTGTCTATAGGCAACGTGATGGAGGTATTTTTCTCAACTGAAGTTCCCTAGAATAGTTTAGTTTGTATCAGGGTGACAATAAAACGACCAGGACAGAAGACACATTTTCAAAGAGATGAGGACCTTGCAACAAACCAAATGATGAACCACTGAGAATGGGTCAAATAAAGTAGTAAAATGACATGGATGGAATAGAAGTGAAAAGGCTGTCCCATCAATAATGACATGCTGGGTGTACCACACGTCAGTGATTTACAGCTGCAGCTGCAGCTCAGTAGCAAAAGAGGCCCTGGATTTGGTCCCCAGCCCTGCAAAAGAAAAGTAAACAAAGCAAGTAGATAAGCTGGGTACAGTGGTGTATAGCTGTAATCCTAGCACTAACGAGGGCAGCTGAGACAAGCACATCAATCTGAGGCAAACCTAAAGAATGATTTCAAGGCCAGTCAGGGCTACACAGTAAGATCCTGTCTAAAAAAAAAAAAAAAAAAGAAGAAGAAGAAGAAGAAGAAGAAGAAGAGAAAAATATTAAGAAATTAAACTGTAGCCTGGCGGTGGTAGCGCATGCCTTTAATCCCAGCACTTAGGAGGCAGAGGCAGGTGGATTTCTGAGTTCAAGGCCAGCCTGGTCTACAGAGTGAGTTCCAGGACAGCCAGGGCTACACAGAGAAACCCTGTCTCGAAAAACCAAAAAAGAAACTGTACAAACAAACAAATACAGAAAAAAAAAAAAACAAAAACCCAAAAAAACAAAAAAAAACCGCAAGTACATGATTTTTATTTTTTCAGAAATAACCTATCTATAACTGTTCTCTGCAATATAGGAAATCATTCTGTTAAATAAAACATACCAGAAAGATATGTACCACGTTTTTCTCTCACATGTGGGAGAGCCCAGATTTACACATACCCACACAAACACACGCACACACGAGTCATCGAACCACTAAGAGGTTCACAAGAGGGAAAGGAGATCTTAAGGGAGAGTAACAGAAGCAGAAATGGTGACTATCTGTGGAAAGGAAGGAACCAACCAGTGTAATAAGTGGAAGAACAGAAGGGGAAAAACATTAGAATAAAGTACAATCACACGCACGCACGCACGCACGCACGCACGCACGCACGTATAAAAATGTCACAATGAAACCATTTCTTCATATTTTAACTTAAACCTAAAAGAACCCTTTAAACTCTAAATTTAATTTAAAAGTTCTTAAAAGGCAGATTTATAGAGTTAAGATGCTGGAAAAACTAAGGGGAAAAATTTTTAAAAAGTAATTCAAAAGGGTAAAGCTCCAATTTTACATCGCTGTCATGATCACACATTTCATTCCCATGTGCTAGGCAAGGCTGCTTCCTGGAATGGAGTGGGGGTCTCCAGCTATACTTGATTACTCTGAGCACAAATCTAATCAGAAAAGCAGTCTTGTTACTGCTCATGTTGCCATGCCCGTGTTCTCTCATCTGGAAATCAATATGCCACTAGTTCTGTAGGCACAGAGCTGCAGGCACAGCATATATAAGGACAGACGTATATACACTGCTCATATAAACAGACTTTAACAGGCCATGTCACCTTCCTTTTTACTTGGTATTTTCATTTTAATTTAGGCAGCATGAACTGTTAGTCATTAGTCATATTTTGGTTCTAGAGTTGTAGCTATATTTATTTTATACTTTCAAAGCAAGGAGGCAGAAAAAAAATCAGGAGGCTTTACTCTAGCTCACTGACCATTACTAACTGGATAAAGAAAGGCTTGTTAGAACACACAGGACTACACTCATTCTCCAACATTCCTGCCCAGCTGCATTTCCTCACTTGTAGAGCTGAGAAGTTAAGACAGATGAAATGGCCTGCAAAGCCTAAAATATGATTATCTGAACCAAAAAGTAATGTCCACACTTTGGAAGTAGTAGTCATCTGCTAATCAGCAGTTCTGCTTATACACTCTTACTATGTATGTCTACAGAGGCATAATACATTTTAATCGTTTATCTGTGTCTGGTTTTTTTCTGCTATAATGTGTTAAGAACATATCCCCAATTCTATGAAAGTAGAAGCTTTAATAAATGCTGACTGAATCAAAGGTGCCTAGACAATTGTATTTTACAGAGTAAATTAGAACACTTGAAACCTACAGTAGAGTTCAAGGCCAGCCTGGTCTACAGAGTGAGTTCCAGGACAGCCAGAACTACACAGAGAAACCCTGTCTCGGAAAAAAAACAAACAAACAAACAAAAAAGTAATTATGAGCTGGGCGGTGGTGGCGCACGCCTTTAATCCCAGCGCTTGGGAGGCAGAGACAGGCGGATTTCTGAGTTCAAGGCCAGCCTGGTCTACAGAGTGAGTTCCAGGATAGCCAGGGCTACACAGAGAAACCCTGCCTCGAAAAACCAACCCCCCCCCCCAAAAAAAAAGAAACCTACAGTAGCTCCTTTTTTTTTGTTTTGCTTCTTTTGTTTTTGTTTTTCGAGACAGGGTTTCTCTGTATATGCCTGGCTGTCCTGGAACTCACTCTGTAGCCCAGGCTGGCCTCGAACTCAGAAATCCGCCTGTCTCTACCTCCCGAGTGCTGGGATTAAAGGCGTGCGCCACCACCACCCGGCCCTTTTTTTTTTTTTAAAGACCTAGATATTTTTTTCTGGCAAATGTCTATGAAGAACAAGTAGAAAACACTTTGTTTCACATTAATCATCCACAGGCAAAACATAAGACTTTAGCTTTCACCTTTTTGTTCAATGGTAACATTTTTTTAAGAATTATTTATTTATGCATGAGTGTTTGATCTGCATGTACATCTGCACACCAGAAGAGGGCATGAGATCCCATTACAGATGTTATGAGCCACCACATGGCTGCTGGATATTGAACTCAGGACCTCTGGAAGAGTTGCCAGTGCTTAGGAGCCATCTCTCCAGCCTCTCAAAAAAAAAAAAAAA